CTGCACTTTCAATACTATCCATTGGTCTATGTCTACCCTTATGGTGGTACCACACTTTTTAATTACTGAAGCTTTGTATTAAGTTTTAATATTAAGAAGGGCGAGTCCTCCAACTTTGTTCTTTTTTCAAAATTGTTTTGGCTATCCTGGTTCCCTTAAAATTTCATATGAACTTGGCCGGGCACGGTGGCTCAAGCCTATAATCCTAGCACTTTGGGAGGCCCAGGCAGGTGGATCACGAGGTCAGGAGATCGAGACCATCCTGGTCAACATGGTGAAACCCCGTCTCTACTAAAAATACAAAAAAATTAGCTGGGCATGGTGGCACGTGCCTGTAATCCCAGCTACTCAGGAGGCTGAGGCAGGAGAATTGCCTGAACCCAGGAGGCGGAGGTTGCGGTGAGCCGAGATCGCGCCATTGCACTCCAGCCTGGGTAGCAAGAGCGAAACTCCGTCTCAAAAAAAAAAAAAAAAAAATCATATGAACTTTAGGATCGACTTTTCCATTTCTGCAAAAAGGCCACTGGAATTTTGACAGGGATAGCACTGAATCTGTAGATTGCTTTGAGACGTAGTGCCATCTTAACAATAGTAAGTCTCCCAACCCATGAACACAGTATGTAGTTTCATTTATTTGGAGCTTATACAATTTCTTTCAGCAATGATTTGTAATTTTCAGTGTACAAGTCTTGTGCTTTCTTGGTTAAATTTATTCCTAAATATGTTATTCTTTTTGATGCTGTTGCAAATAGAACTATTTTCTTATTTATTTTATCTTTTTTGAGATGGAGTTTCACTCTTGTTACCCAGGCTGGAGTGCAATGGCGCGATCTCGGCTCACCGCAACCTCCGCCTCCTGGGTTCAAGCAATTCTCCTGCCTCAGCCTCCCGAGTAGCTGGGACTACAGGCGTGTGCCACCATGCCCAGCTAATTTTTGTATTTTTAGTAGAGACGGGGTTTCACCATGTTGACCAGGATGATCTCGATCTCTTGACCTCGTGATCCACCCGCCTCGGCCTCCCAAAGTTCTGGGATTACAGGCCTGAGCCACCGTGCCCAGCCTTATTTTCTTATTTTCAAATCATTGTTAGCTATAGAAATGTAGGGTTTACTATATACAAGATCACATAATCTATGAATAGAGATAATATTACTTCTTCTTTTCCTATTTGAATGACTTTTGTTTCTTTTTCTTGTCTAATTGCTGTAAATAGACCTTCCAGTACAATGTTGAAGAGAAGTGGCATCCTTGTCTTATCACTGACATTAAGGGAAAAGTTTTCAGTTTTGTGATGTTAGCTGTGGGCCTGTCATAATTGCATCCTATGCTGTGAATGTAGGCTTTGAGACTGCTGAAGAGCCAGGGAGGAAAGCAGGGTGAGAGGCAAGTAAAAAACTTTGTAAAATTTTCCTAATTTTGCCCTTTTATGAATAGACTTCATTTTTAGAGGAATTTTAGGTCCATAGAAAAATTAAACAGAAGGGACAGAGATTTCCCATTGATGTCACCTCTGTCCTTGTATTTTTATTTAACTGTCCCATAGATTTTATTCATATGATAAATAACAGTCACATGGAGCACAGAGGGATGCAAAGGGAGGGCTCCAGATCAAGGAATGGATTTGAAACTGGCCCACTTGTCCCACAGAACTGATGTTTATCGTTTTTTTGATTAAACAGAAATTGATCTTTCCAGGCCAGGTGCAGTGGCTCATGCTTATAATCCCAGCACTTCGGGAAGCTGAAGTGGGAGAATCAGCTGAGCCTAGGAATTTAAGACCAGCCTGGGCAACAAGGTAAATCCCCATCTCTACAAAAAAAAAAAATAATAATAATAAGTTGCCAGGCATGGTGGCATGCACCTGTAGTCCCAACTACCTGGGGGTGAGAACTCACTTGAGCCCAGGAGGTTGATAACTGCTATAGTTTGATAGTGAGTGGTGATCATGCCACTGTACTCCAGCCTGGGTGACAGAGCAAGACTCTGAAAAAAAAAAAAAAAAAAAAAAGAAAGAAAAGGAAAAGGAGAGAAGGAGAGAAAAGAAATGGATTTCTCCTTCAGGTCTCCCAGATAGTATCAAGGAGCTGCAACTTACCAGATCATTGCATCTGGACAATGAGAACCCAGACTCCTCATTAGTCATGATTGCCTAACCAATCACCTATTCCAACTCCTCTTTCTAATTTCTGTTTTCCCACACACAGTTACAATTCTTCCCTGCTATACAAACCCCTGATTTTGGCCAGTCAGGGAGATGGAGGTGAGACTGATCTCCCATCTTCTTGGCTGCAGTACTCAATTAAAGCCTTCTTCCCTTGCAATACTCATTGTCTCAGTGATTGGCTTTCTGACTGGCAAGCAGCAGGACCTAGATCCAACCCCCGGTGTTTCAGTAACAGATTCTACCCAGTATTAACATGGCAGCCTCCAAGACAAGAGAAGGCAATTGGTCCTTTCTGTGAAAGCCAGGACAGAATATCAAGAAATGTCTATCTTCTGGCTCACAATGGCCTTGGGGCCATGTTCTCTATCTCTTGAGTACTGAAGAACAGAGAAGTCTCAGAAGGCTGATGCTGGGAAGGTGAAAAGAAATAAGAGGATGGAAGGAGGTGTTGGAGAAAAAAAAACAAACAAAATCTCTGGCTCACCCAGAAAATCCCATTCACAAATGTAGAAAAGGAAGAGAACAGTTTTATTATCAAATAATATTAAACCGGACTGTGAAGCACATCATAGACAATCTGCTAATCAGATGCCAAAGACAGAAAGAGATCTCACTTTTTATCTAGTTGAGAAGATACAATCTATTACAAACATGTCCTCAAAATTAAGGGTAATTTGCCCTCGTGTAAGAGGATTTGAAATTGTTTGCTGTACGATTTTTCATAGTTCATTCTAAATGCACCTCGTAATTGGGGTAGCCACCTATACTAGTTAATTGCCTTTCTCAAAAAGAAAAAAATACAACTTTTATCTCTGATAAGCCGGCGGTTACCAGTTTGAAGGTAGGCACCTAAGCTAAAGTTACAAGGTGACAGGGAGGTAAGGGCACTATCTTCTTCATTGCTTACATTTCAAAGAGATGGCTCGCCAGACTTTTGGGGGAAACATTCCTATTTTGTAAAGTTGGCAGATGCTTATTCCGCCTTTCAAAAGTATCAGGTGCATATCACAAGGGCACTTACACAGATTTCTCATGGAAATATTCCAAGAGTGAGAGATCAGGTTTATTTCCCTTTCAGCAACAAGCAAAATTTAACTCAATTTGTATTTGCGATTACCATTTAAATGCTCCCATCAGCTGAAATAGTAATGGAAATTTGTATTTGCCATTACTATTTGAATGCTCCTCCCATCTGATCTGCAAAACCCCAATTGCTTCATTGCAGAAGGTACAAGCATAGCCCAGTTTTAAATATATATATAACTCCCGGGCTCAAGCCATTCTCTAGCCTCAGCCTCTCTCAGGGTTACAGAGATTACAGGCATGCGCCTCCACACCCGGCTCTAGTAGCCCAGATCTGAACCGGGATCTTAGATAAGAGGCCATCGAGCCAGACTCCAGCCTGAGTGACGCTTCCATCTTCCCGGAACTTGATGAGTCTGTCACTAACTTCGACAAGAGAAGGTGACTACAGGGCACCCATAGAAGTGTACTAGTGTTGAGGGTAAGAGCTCAACTGAGATGCTGGGAGGCAGCTTTGCCTAGCCTGTGTCCCACAGGCAGCACGAAGTCGAATTTACATGGTTCTCGAAAGGCAGTGAGGAACTATGTTAAAGAAACTTTTCTCCCCTTGTCGATAGGGGAGGGGTTTCAAGTGCAGGAAATTCCTCTTCCCGCCTCAGGCGGGGGCTCTTGGAGCACTTTCTCCAAGCCTCCATTCCCAGACCAGAAGGGATTCAAATGCAGGAATTTCCCGGCTCCCCCGCCTCAGGTGGTTAGGACTCTTTGAGCACCTCCTCCACGCCTCCAACGGGAGACCCGAGGGGATTCAAATGCAGGAATTTCCCGGCTCCCCCGCCTCAGGCGGTTAGGGCTCTTTGAGCACCTCCACCAGGTGGGCCAGGTAAATTCTTTGTCCTATCTTCCCGCTTCGCGAAAAGCGGCTGGGGCTATTTTGTTCCAAATTCCCGCGGAAAGCTCTGGGAGGAGGGGGTTCTGTAACGCAGGGTTGTAGAACAAGTAGCCAACCTGCTATCAGAGTCAAAGATCAATCACTCCAGAGGAAGTTTAAAAGAACTCCTCTCTCTTAGAATCCAGGCGCCAAAACATAAAAAAGAACTCCTCTCACTGGACGAGAACATGAATGGGGAGGGAATAACTCAAGGGTTAAAACTTCAGCTGTGCTCCTACCTGAACGGATTTTCCTTTCTGGGTTCCCCTCCCACCACAGTGTGGCAGCTGTCTTCTCTCTCTCTCTGTCTAATAAATCGCTCTTCCGCAAAAATTCTTTGGGTCCACGATTTTATTCCGACGGTAAACTCACTGCGCTTCCGGGGCCCCTTTCCCATTCTTGGCGTTAGGGAGGCCAAGAATCTACAAGCTGGGTACTTCCCCGGTAACAGTAGTTAGCAAGCCGTGGAGCCTCAGCCCAGAGAATTTGAGGGGTTCGGTGCAGGAAACTCTGTACCCAGTGCACGCCCAACAGCCCACGAACCGCTCCCGCTACATTCGTTTTCCGGAAATGGCTTCTCTCGTTGACTCCAGCTTCCGGAAGCGCCTGCGGAAGCTCCCGCGGAGGCTTGTGGGGAGTGCAGTCTTTTTTTTTTTTTTTTTTGAAGACCGGGCGGAGGGGACAGAGACTTCACTCGGGACAGAAACTGTTTTCAGCATGGGATTTTAAAAGAAGACACAGAGGCTGTCACTGCAGTAGTCACTGTCCTGGTAAATTAACCGTTGCACGGCCGAGAAGCGGCTCCGTGGCGACCAATGGGAACCGAAGTCTGCGAGGATGCTGGAACTGTAGTTCTGGCATAGGTCGGCGCAGGAGGTCTGAGAGAACTCGTCCGCTGGCTCTGGTGAGCTGGGCCTCCACCGCTCCTTGGCCCCGGGATACCCTCTCTCCTGGGGAAAAGAGGGTCTGGAAAGGCCGGGCCTAGGTTAGGACGCGGGGTAGAGTGTGGCCGATGGAGAGTGCAGGTTGGGGATATTTGGTTTTTGGAGGAGGGGGCGCGGCTTGCGGTACCCACTGGGGCCAGGCGATGGGGTGAGCAGCAGCTCGCTGGTAACCTTGGGGCCGCCGGCACCTCCGCGGACCTTTCTTCCTCCGCTAGGACGAGAGTGACCTGGAACTCTGTCTTGAACCAGGCGGGATTATTCTGGGTTAGCCAGTTTAAGAATAAGGAGTGCGGCCCCAGTCGTGCGTCCTGGGGTTTCTGTGGGTTGTGGGAATGAATTCAGCCAGGGCCAAATGGACGACCATCCCCGAGGCTATGGTGGGAACGTGGCTAGGTCCGCACATCCCCCGGTGGTTTTGGCTGGGGAACTTTTTCAGTCCTGCATCTCCGAATGGTTGTGGGAATACAGGGCTGATCGTGGATGCCAAGGTTTTATTTTTTGTTTTTCTGTTTTTTGGGTGGGGCTGGATATGTCCCAAGTGGTGACGGGGATGGGGTGAGGGGTAGGCCATTTGAGGCCTTGATGCTTGATGGGCCTTGGTTTATTAGGGGTTCCAGAGGTGGTCAAAATATCCTTAGAGGGTCTGGGCGAGTGTCTTGGGTCAGGAGTCCCTGGGGTTTTTAGGGAGGTTTTTTGAATGGGGGCAGGTCTTTTCTCTGGGACCTGATGTCCCAAGGTGTGTCATGTGGCAGGTGCCCCTGTGCTTTGCGGCAAAGATCCTGGGTTTGGTTTTAATCTGGGTGGCCCGTCTGGCTGACTTCTTTACTTGTCTGCTTTTGCTTCACATGTTAGGGCCAAATTTCTGGTTTGGGCTGTAAAGGGTTAGGTAGGGTGGGGAACTCTGGGGGCTTTTGATTGACAATCCAAATCACTTCTGGCATATGGTGAGTTCCAGATATCAGGCGTTTAATTTTATTTTTAATTTTTGGTAGGGACAAATTTGAAGTCTACCCAATAGAGACATACAGTGAACTGCCATGGACCTGTTCACCATATTCAACATTTGTTAACTCATGGCCAATTTTGTTTCATCTGCATCCCCTCAACTCTATGTGTGGACACACTTTAAGAATTGTCAAACTCCAGAGAGATTGGTCACTGCTGACATTATTACTGGCCCAACTGGCTAAGGGTGTGGCGCTCTGCAGCTAGACTTCAAATCGAGGCACTTTCTAGCATTGTCATTTTGAGGAAGGTATAATAACTCATGGAGTTTTGGGAAGGTAAAATTTGTATGGTGCCTGGAATTGCCTGTGGTATACAGTAAGAGTTTAGTAAGTGTTAACTATTACTAATAAATAATATTACAGCTTGAGGCCCATAGGCATTAAAGGGATAAATACGTAATAGCAGCTTGTCAGGGCAGACTGTATTCTGATGTCCCCATGTGGTTCTGTCCCCTAGAAGCTGTTTACATTCTTCTCTTCTCTGACAGATCTGAAGCTTTCTTGTTGAAGGGAGAGGAGCCCTGCTCATTTTAAACTTGGGGATTTCTAGCCTCCATATCTGGATGCTAGGAGACAATCCTGAAGCTCATACTGCCTGTTTCATCCTCAGGTCCACATTCTCCAATCCCTGTCTGCCAGGAGAGGACTATCTCTTGAAAAAGGAAGGAGTTCTGTGTCCCTGAGAACCTACTGTCTGGTAGGTACCCCTTACCTTTCATATTCCTATAGTGTCTTTTCTGCTCAAAACCATGTCTGAATTTCCTGTGCCCATCTGATGTCTTGTACTCTGAAGTCTAGCAATTGAGGCTTAAGGCTTTGCTTGTATTTCCACAATACTGGGAGGATTTTAAGGGCAAGGATCTCCAAGGGGAATATCACCCCAGACCGGTACTTTCATTCAGGTGACCACCATCCTTGCCCCAGCCATATTTCATCCTAGCTCCTGGATTCCCAGGGCTTTGTCAGCTACTGTGAAATAAAAAATGGTGGTGATCCCCATTTATTGGGCCATTGTTCTGTGCCAGGCAGCTGGGTTTATAGTCTCCACAATATTTTAAACTCTCAACAGTTTGAAAGTTAGGAATCAAAACTCTGAACTGATAGAAGAAGTGGCATGTTACAGAGTTTAAAAAACTTACCTGGCAATATGGCTGGGTTGGGTAGAATTAGGATTTAGAACTTCGTCAGTTATCAACATTCTATAATCCCTGTTTCATTGAGCCCTCCCCCCCCACCACCTGCCTCATTTTTCTTGTTTTTGCTACTGGAGTATTTGGAAGGAAATCCCAGACATCACATAATTTTACCTATAAATACTATCATATGCATTTCCAACAGAGAAGGACTATTTGTTAAATATGTAACCATAATATTACCACATTCAACAAAATTGACAGTAATTCCTTAATGTCTTAATTCCTAGACTGTTTGAAAATCTGCCCATTTCTTCTAAAAAATATACCATTGCTTAGTTCAAACTGTACACACCTAACAATTCAGGTAAGAAGTTTAAGAGGGAGAAGTATCTGGAATTCAGCAAGGCCAATTCTCCCGCTCCCTTTTCTCTTTACCTGTTGCTAATTTCTGTTAATGACTGTGCTTTCCGCTTCTGGTCACGAACAGGAGCTCTGAGTCCTTTTTGCCAACTTGTTCTTTCTGAAATTCTCGCCCTTCTAATTAGCAATGGAGTCCTCTCCATTCTACCTTGGTATATCCCTTTATTCCTTTCCCCTCATCTCACTGCTGTGCTATCCAGATTTTTTTTCTTCTCCACATTCTAGTTCACCCTCCACCCTGCCTTTTGAGTCGCTTCTCTGAAGGAAAAATAAGGATCATGCCACTCATCTACTCAAGAGGGCCATTTCTTATTGCCTACCTCCAACTCTGTCCAAAGTCAATAATTAGAGCAGGTGTCCCCAAACTATGGCCCGCAGGCCGCATCTGGTCCCCCGCCGCACTTCAGGAAGGGGCACCTCTTTCATTGGTGGTCAGTGAGAAGAGCACAGTATGTGGCGGCCCTCCAATGGTCTGAGGGACAGTGAACTGGCCCCCTGTGTAAAAAGTCTGGGGATGCCTAAATTAGAGTATGAGGCCATGAGTGGTGGCTCACGCCTGTAATGTCGACACTTTGGGAGGCTGAAGGGGTGGACCGCTTGAACTCAGCCTGAGCAACATGGTGAAACCTGTCTCTACTTAAAATAGAAAAATTAGCTGGGCATGGTGGTGCACACCTGTGGTCCCAGCTACTAAGGAGGCTGAGATGGGAGGATGGCTTGGGCCTGGAAGGTAGAAGTTCCAGTGAGCCGAGATCGCACCACTGCACTCCAGCCTGGGTGTGAGCTCTGGAGACTGCCTGGGTTCAAAGCCCGTCTTTACCACACATTGGCTGTGTAACCTTCGAAACATTATTTCACTCCCTGTGCCTTTTACTCCTCATCTGTAAAATGGTGAAAATAATAGTGCCCATCTCATGGAGTTGTGTGGAAGAAATGTAGTAATTTTTATACGGTCTGGCAGATAATTCCTATAAGGTAGTGCCTGGCACATAGTATATGCTTACTAAATATGGACTGTGGTTGTTAATACTGATATCTGATTAATATCTGAATTATCTCTCAATTCACCTTTTCAGTCTTGTCCCTAAAACTTACTCCCTTTGTCGTGCCCTTGTAGTTGTGTGGGAATAGATTCCATTCTGTGCTGTTTTATTCCTCTGTGGTTTCCTACTTGGCAATCAAACTCCTATTGATTTAGTCACACATTTACTCCATTGCAAAGCATGCCTTGATTTTTTTCAGGCAAAGTTGTCTGCAGCCTCTTCTTTGGCACCAAAGCATTTTGTTTTTGTTTTTTGTTTGTTTGTTTGTTTTAAGATGGAATTTTGTTCTTATTGCCCAGGCTGAAGTGCAATGGTGTGATCTCAGCTGTAACCTCCACCTCCTGGGTTCAAGTGATTCTCCTGCCTCAGCCTCCTGAGTAGCTGGGATTACAGGCATGTGCCACCATGTCCTGCTAATTTTGTATTTTTATTAGAGACAGGGTTTCACCATGCTGGTCAGGCTTGTCTCAATACTCCCATCCTCAGGTGATGCACCTGCCTTGGCCCCCCAGTGTGCTGGGATTACAGGTGTTAGTCACCGAACCTGGCTTAAAGCACTTTATATATGAGTACTTTGTTGAACTGGACCATGAAGTGGCTCTTTAAGGATCAGGGACCTCTTGCTTATTTTCTGTCACTGACATGGTGCCTAATAACTAGCAGGACTAAATAAGTCTTTGTGAGCATTGAGCAGCCCTGTTTCCTGGCTGTGGAGGAGCCATATGGGCCGGGATGGGGTTGGGGGGTGGCTCAGATTGAGAAGTGGGTTGGGCCGTTATTAAGAAAGGCCGGGATACCAAGTTAGTGAGTTGGACTTCATTCTGTGGCCATTAGGGAACCACTTGAAGGTTTTGAGCTACTTTTGAGTGTGATCTCTCCCTTTAGCTGTTACCCCATTTCTCTGCTTTCCTTCATAGCAAAACTCCCCAAAAGAATGGTCTATACTTGTTACCTCCAGTTCCTATTTTTCCATTCTGTTTTAAATCCTTTTGTAGTCCACACTCCAGAAACTGTTCTTGTCACGGTCACCAGCAGCCTCTACTGTGCTACACCCAGGACTGAATTTCCAGTCTTTATTTTACTCGGTCTTCTTGGCAGCAGTTCCTGTGGTCGATCTCCTCCTCCTCCTTGACACACCTTGTCCTTGGGCTCCAGAACTGTATGTACCTCTCCTTTTCTTTCTCCCTCACAGGCTACTTCTCTGTCTCCCTTGCCAGTTCTTTTTTTTTTCCTGGCCTCCTAACTTGGAGTCCTCCAGAGCTTAGTCCTTGACGATTCTTTCATCTTCCTCCTCTGCCTTGCTGATCTCCTCCACTCTGAGGACTTTAAATCCATCTGTATGACTCTAGCCTCGACCTCTTCCTTCCACTTCAGTCTTGGATGACGAATTGCCTACTTGTAATCTCCACTTGAACCTGTATTAAGCATCTCAAATCTAGTCTCAAACATCAAACTTTGTTCTGCTCCCCCAAATTTGTTCTTTCTGTGCTGAATGAGCTTCCTCCTGGACAGCATCCCTGCTTGTTCTGTGGTGGTATGGCAAGTGATGGGACCATGTCCTTCATTTTTGTCTTCTAGGCACAACCACAAATCTTTGTACTTTGAAGGCTGAATCAATAGTGAGGACTAGGGCTAGGTGAGAATGGGTTTATGGGCTTGGGTCCTTATAGTAGCATGTTTCACTCTTCATCCTCTTTGTGTGGCCACTCCTTATAGGTATACACCCTATCATGTTGAACTCAGGAGTGACCAGGTGACTTGATTTGCCAGTGAGTTATGGTCAGAATTGTCTCTTTGGGTAGAATTTTTAAGCACTTGTATAGGGTTCTCCATCTTTTGTCTTCCTCTGCTACTTCTACTGGCCATTTTCCAAATAGGGGCTGCACTGTTAGCCCCAGTCCTTGAGTGAAGATGAATTAGTTGACAGATAATAGTCATGGAGTCTGATGAGAAATAAACCGTCATTACATTAAGTCACTGAGATTGTGTGGAGGTTATTATTATAGAAGAACTCAGCCTAACCTTGGGCCAGGCTCTGACTTTTGGTAGCTGTGTAATCTTAAAGACAAATAAAGCAGCCCCTTGGTGCCCCGGTTTCCTCCTTTGTGAGATGGAAAGAATAGCAGCATCCACCTCTTGGCTGTGTTCTGAAGATTATCAGAAATTGCACTTAGTGGCCAGTTGCTTGTGCCTGTAATCCCAACGCTTTGAGAGGTCGAGGCTGGCAGATCATGAGGTCAGGAGTTCAAGACCAGCTTGACCAATATGGTGAAACACAGTCTCTACTAAAAATACAAAAAATTAGCTGTATATGGTGGCAGGCACGTGTAATCCCAGCTACTCAGGAAGCTGAGGAAGGAGAATTATTTCATCCTGAGACTGCACCACTGCACTCCAACCTGGGCAACAGAGCGAGACTCTGTCTCAAAAAAAAAAAAAAAATCTGCACTTAGTACAGATCTTGCTTTACAAATGTTAGCTACAGATACTAGTGTTACTAGGGAAGTTACATTTATTTATTTTTTTCTTTTTTTTTTTTTTTTGTCTTTTTGTTTTTTTCCTTTTTGTGGAGAATGGGGTCTCGCTATATTGCCCAGGCAGGTCTCGAACTTCTGGGCTCAAGCTATCCTCCCGCCTCTGCCTCCCTAAGAGCTGGGATTACAGGCGTGAGCCACAGCGCCCGGCTACTAGTGTTACTAGGAGAAAGGCTTTGTCAGCTTCAGCTAAGTTGTACTGCAGATATTACATGCTGGCTTTAGCTTCGTACCATGACCTTTTACAACAGAACCACAGTCCCTTTGGGGACATAGTTCTGAGAACAAGAGAAATGGTAGAATTATGCAGTGCTTAGAAATGGCATTGTCACTTTCACTCACATTCATTTTCCAAGGCAAGTTACAAGGTCAAGCCTGATGTCTGGGACTGGGAAGTACAGTCCTTTTATAGAGCAACAAGTAATTGGGAACGATGATAAAATCTACCACAAAGGACTCTTTTATCCCCATCACTAGAATTAGATTAGCAAAAAGACTTGAGATTCATTTCATCTTACAAGAAGTGTCATAGTTTAGTAAAGACAGTCACATAAATAGAGAAATTGCAATATGGTATGATGCCCAGGTTTGACAGAAGAGGGAGAGATCATCTCTGCCTGTGGTGTTGGGGGATGACTTACAAGAGCTGCTTAGAGGCCCGAGGTAGTCTCAGAAGGGTACTAGGCAACAATAGGCCTGTAGTCATTTGGGGTAAAATCTTAGACAGCATCTGAGGAGCTTCTGAAGGTGGCATAGCTCCTAATACCACCTGCCTTCTTTGGGACCACATCAGTGTAAGACTGACTTGGGCGCATCAGGATACACAAATGCACATCTCTGATAAGGTCATGTGGTAGGCATGCATAGAAATGGATGCTGGGGTGTTATCTGTTCAGAGTAATTGTGAGACCTGGCGCTCTCCCTTAAGTAAGAAGGACTGAGTTTTGATCTCCTAAATGCCTCAGGATACAGGGATATAGGAATTTTTTTTTTTTTTTTTTTTTTTTTTGAGACAGGGTCTCACTCCTGTCGTCCAGACTAGAGTGCAGTGGCACGATCTCAGCTCATTGCAGCCCTGACTTCCCGAGCTCAGCTGATCCACCCACCTGAGCCTGCTGAGTAGCTGGGACTATAGGCATACACCACCATGCCCAGCTAATTTTTGTATTTTTTGTAGAAATGGTATTTTTGCCATGTTGTCCAGACTAGTCTTGAACCCCTGAGCTCAAGCGATCTATTTGCCTTAGCCTCCCAAAGTACTGGCATTACAGATGTAAGCCACTGTGCCCATCCAAGACATAGGGAATTGAACATAGATGGAACCTTGGGCCGGGGCAGGGGAGTCAGAAGCTGAGTTCTGCATGCACTGATTGGTCTGCAGGAAACATTCAGAGGCTCTTTCTCCACAGGCATTATGTTATATTCTGTCTTCTCTCTGATTCAGGCTTGAGGTAGTAGCAGAGACTGATTCAAAACATAGAATTTGAATCTGAGGTACAGAGACAGAAGAAATAAATTTTGAGAGCTAAGGGATGGTGGCAGAATATAAGCATGAGGGCCTAGAAATGAAGGTAGAGTGAATGAAGGTAGAAAATCCAGGGAACCCCTATAGACGGAGACTCCATGTTTGTTGAATAATGAGGGTGTGAGAGGACAGGATCCCCGTTGAAGAGGCTTAGGCCTAGGGCCCACAATAAAAGCCCCAGCAATATCACATTGCTTCTTTATCCCACAGGGCCTGGCTGCATGGAAAAAAGATGGGCTTTTACAATAAAGGTCGGAAGAAGGCAGCAGAATCCATCTTGAGATGAAATAACATGTACCTGGACCTCTGGCAGAATTTCAAGGCACACACTGGGCTGACCCTGGGGCCATGATGTCGCCTTATCCTTCAGCACTGGGAGATGAAGACTGGGAGGAGATTTTCCTTTCAAAGAATGGGGAACATATAGAGACCATGAAGAAATTGGCTCAAAATCATGAAGCAAAAGGTGAGAATTGTTGAAGGGCTAGAGAGATGAAGAGGGAGCTAAGACTCCAGGTTCACCTAAGAATGCTTCAGAGGTCACCTCTGAGTAAAGTGACTCCTTCCTAAGGCTCAGAAGAGCTGCTGAGGGAGTGTCATGGGTGGGGGAAGGAGGTCTGGTTTCTCATGGCTTCTTTTTCTTTCCCTAGGCTTGCCTTCTAATGATACTGACTGGCCCCAGGAGAAGGAGGGAAAGGCCCAAATAGTGGTGAGTTGGGGGTTACATTTTTTTTCTGAACTGCTGGCTCATTTCACAGAGAACAGACATATATTCTCTTTCTTGGGAAGGGAAAAGGTGGTCAACATCTGGGTAGATGAGTGAAGCATTAGGCTTTGTTGAAAAAAATTGTTAAAATACATAGCAAAGACAAGGATTTTACAGATCCCATTTAGTAACCTTAACTTTTAAAAAATGCTCATTCCAGAACCCATCTGTTCATTTCCATTTTTCTCTGTAATCAAAGTTTTCTTCCATTTTCTCCTCTAAATCTTCACCGCTCCGGAAGAGCGGTGAAGATGTGTTTATTCCTTCTGCAGCCCATTCTCTGCTGTTCTCTGAATTCTTTCCTTATGAATCCTCAAGGTCACTGTCCTAAACACTCCCTGAGGTTTTCAAACTAATTCACAAATCATTTCTCCAGTGAAATTATATGTGTCAAGGACCTAGAATGTGTTCTGTGCTCAGTTATGCTCCTCACAGGTTTTAACAGAAAGCCAGGCGCTAGGTGTGGTAGCTCACGCATGTAATCCCAGCAGTTTGGGAGGCTGAGGCGGGCAGATCACCTGAGATCAGGAGTTTGAGACCAGCGTGACCAACATGGAGAAACCCCATCTCTACTAAAAATACAAAAAATTTTTGTATTTGGTGGCACAGGCCTGTAATCTCAGCTACTTAGGAGTCTGAGGCAGGAGAATCACTTGAACACGGGAGGAAAAGGTTGTGGTGAGCCAAGTTGTGCCATTGCACTCCAGCCTGGGCAACAAGAGCAAAACTCGGTCTCAAACAAACAAACAAACAAAAAACAGAAAGCCAGGCATGCAGTAGTGCTCAGAAGAACTTCATATGGAGAACCGTGTACTCTGACGAATTACATCAACTTGCATATCCAGGCTCTCCAGGGACAGCAGGTGTGCTCCACACACAGGGAAGATTGATGGTGGCTTGCTATACATTAATTTACTGGTTGTTTGTAGGTACCAGTTACATTAAGGGATGTGACTGTGATCTTCACGGAAGCAGAATGGAAGAGACTGAGTCCAGAGCAGAGGAATCCATACAAAGAAGTGATGCTGGAGAATTACAGGAATCTTCTCTCATAGGGTGAGGCTGTGTTCTTTCCTTTCCTTCATTAATTCAGTAGAGATTTATTGATCACCTACTATGTACCACAAAAAATGTTCTAGACACTAGAACACATTAGTAAAATCATAATCCCTGCCTCCATGGGGCTTACTTTCTAGTGTAAGTAGATAGACATCAAAAAGCTCTCTATATAGGGATATTATAAAATGGCATGTTAAAAGGTGATAAGTGAAACATAGTGAAAAATAGTAAAATAAGGCAGGATAAAGGGGTATTGGGTGTGATAGGATGGCTGGCTGAATTTTAAAACTGGGTATTTGAAATCAGTAAAGTAACATTTGGCCAAAGACAAATGTGGTGAGGAGGTTAGAACTCTAGTATCTAGGGTAAGGGCATTTCAGGGGGAGGGAATTACTGATGTGAAGACTTTAGTGAGGGGATGTACCTGCCCAGTATATGAAACTGCAAGGAGGCCAGTGAGGCTGGGGCATGGTTTGCAAGGTGCAGAGTAGGGAGAGATGCATCTCTGTGACACAAGTTAAAATTAAGAGTCAAGTTTATTGTGGTTTGGGGGTTTCATAAACCATATTTTTTTGTCTTCATTTGTTTACAAACTTAAAATAATTATTTAAATCTGGGTTGATAAATGTTATCAATTGCAACATAAACTCTAGATCAGGAATTGGCCAATGTTTTCTGTAAAGGGCCAAACAAGAATTGTTTTTAAAGGTGATAAGGCCTCTGTAGCAACCCTTAATTTGCCATTGAGTTGCACCCATAAATGATATGTAAATGGATGAGCATGGCTATGTTCCAGTAAAACTTCCTTTATGCACACTGAAATTTGAATTTCATATGTTTATGTATCATAAAATATTACTATTGGTTTTGGGATCCAAGCAAAGGAGCAGTTTCTGTCTCGATCATGGGGTTCTCAAAGTATAGGGAAAAAGAGCAATGATGGATGGGACCACATGGTAGCTCTTAAAACTTGTTTGAAAATGTACTAACTTCCTACTAACCTTCATTGGCCAAAGCAAATCCCACAGCCAAATCTGATGTCATTGTGGTGGGAAAGATAATCCTTCAGAGATGGGCTCTATGGGGGAGGAACAGCAGATATTGTGACCAAAATACAGTTTACTGCAAGAGGGGAGCTTAAGTTGAATCTTAGAAATAAGTGTTCACAGGGCTGATAGGTCAAGGAGGAACATGAATTATCTAGATTTAATAGTTATTAACACATTACCTGCTTGTATTATCATTCCCTTCTCCCTTTCTGGCCAAATTATTTTAAAGTTAATTCAAAATACCATGACATCCTTAAATATACCACATATATCTAAAAATTAAAAATGGATTTTTACATAATCACAATACCACGACTATATTCAACAAAGTTAATGGAATCATCTAATACCAAATCTATGTTAAAATTTGAGTAAAAATAATATATATATTTATATAAAATAAATAAAATATATATATAATATAAAGATATAATATTTTTATATATTATTTTTAATCAAATATATTTTGCATATATATGATATATATATTTATAATATATATAACATAAATATATATAATATATAAATTAATATATATGTAAATATATATATTATATATATATATATATATATTTTTTTTTTTTTTGAGACAGGGTCTCATATCTATCATCCAGGTTGGAGCACAGTGGCATGATCATAGCTCACTGCAGCCTCGACTTCCTGGGCTCAGGTGATTCTCCCACTTCAATCATCCTAGTAGCTGGGACTATAGGTACATGCCACCATGGCAGCTAACTGTTTGTATATTTAGTAGAGACAGGGTTTTGCCATGTTGCCCATGCTGGTCTCAAGCTCCTGGTCTAAAGTGATCCACCTATATGGGCATCCTGAAGTGCTGGGATTACAGGTGTGAGCCATGCCTGGCCTCAAAACATATTTTTATAGATTAAAATCAGGTTGTCAGTTATCCCTAAGGTAATTCATAAAGGTAACATATCCCAATAAAAAAGTAGTAACAAGCTCTTTTGTGAAATTCACATGGAAAAATAAATGTGGAAAAACTGTCAAGAATACACTGAAAAATAAAAGCCATAACAGAGTACTATCCTTATCAGACACTAAAATATACTACAAAACCTTTAGAATTAAAATGTGTCCTTTGAGTTAAAGCTGCAAGGAGAAAATAAAGAAAGAAAACGCTGTGGTGCTGGCCCATGACTAGACAAATAGACCAGTGGAATTGAGGAGAAGGTTAGGAAGTCAACCCAAGAACTTACGGAACTTTGGTATGCGATGAAGGTAGCATCTCAAATCCCTGGAGTAAAGATGGACATTTTAATAAATGGTGTTGGGCAACTAGATATCCATTTCCATTTGAAAGAACAACACTGGACCATATACCAAACACCATACACAAAAAAAAAATCCCATATGACTCGAGCTCTAAATGTAAAAAATTAAACCATAAACATACTAGGATAGAATAGGGGTAAATATTCTATCACCTGGACAGAGGAAAAGGTTTTCTAAATTTGGTTAAAAATTCAGATGCCTAGAGGAGAAGAGTGATAAGTTTGATACTGTAAACAAAGTCAAAAGAAAGGTTAATTTTCCAGGAAATATTTGTCACAGACAGTATATCACATATAAAGAGTTATTTTCCATAATATAGAATGAATCTTAAAATTTAAGAAGAAGAACCCTAAAACCAGATAGGAAGAAAATAGGCAAAATACCTAAATAGATAGTTCATAAAATAAAATATAACACTGGCCCTTAAATGTTTGAAAAGGTGTTTAACTGCACTTCTAATTAGATTAATGCAAATTAAAACTACACATCATTCTTAATGTATCATTCACAACATTTCAAGGGTTGACAAAATACTTGACAAAGCTGAGGGATATAGGCAACATTATACACTGTAGATGGCAATGCAGAAATGCTGCAGCCATTATGGAGGGAAATTTGGCAATACGTAACAAAACTATATGTGCCTGTGCTTTGACCTGGCAATCCTACCTAGAAGAATTTACCCTGAAGATTCATCTCCAAAGTTATTACATTTGCACAAGGTTATTCACTATAGCATTGTTTCTATATAAAATACTAGAGTAACCTAATTGCTCCTACGTAGTCAATTGGTTGAAGAAGTTATGGTACATCCTTCCAGAATGAGGAAGAGCTCCTCTGAACTGATAGGGAGTAAATTCTGATAAATTATGAGCATACGCATATGTTTCTTCTTTTTTTTTTTCCACAAAATATCACAGGGTTAATAAACCAGAAACTAATGAGATTGGTTAGCTGTGACGTTATATGTGGAATTTGGCTGGAAGGCTATGGAAAAGAGAGGCATGTCCTCTCTGAGGAGACCTTTCTGAATTGTTTTGCACTTTTAGAGCATACTAGTGTTTTACATACCCAAAGAAAGGAATTAAATCAACAAAGAGGGAAAATCCCTAAACTGGAATACAAAGAAAAAAATCTACCTATGTTCCAAAATAATAATACAACCACAGGTAACGGGAAAACAACCCAGTTAACAGAGAGCTTTGACCATACTTTATAGTAAAGTGAGAGTTGGCAAACCTAGGGTCTACAGGTCAAATCTCTCTCACTGCCTGTTTTTGTAAATAAAGTTTTTTTTGAACAATGAATTATTTATAGCTGCTTTTGTTATACATTGTCAGAGTTAAGCAGTCATGATAGGGATCATGTCACTGTATACAAAGCCTAAAATATTTACTCTTTGGTTCTTTTTACTTTTTTTATTTTTATTTATTTAGTTTTTAAAGATGGTGTTTCACCATGTTGGTCAGGCTGGTCTTGAACTCCTGACCTCGTGATCCACCCACAGCCTCCCAAAGTGCTGATATTATAGGTATGAGCCACCATGCTACTCTTTGGTTCTTTACAGAAAAAATTGCCCAACTCCTTCTCTGTTCACAAAGAAGAACTGCAAACAAATCTTGAACTAAATGGACTATATTTTTTATGTATTTTATAAGGATATGGGTCAACAATTCTGAAACTATATTCCTTGCTTTTTTTTTTTTTGAGATGAAGTTTTGCTCTTGTTGCCTAGGCTGGAGTGCAATGGCATGATCTCGACTCACTGCAACCTCTGCCTCCCGGGTTTAAGTGATTCTCCTGCCTCAGTCTCTTGAGTAGCTGGGATTACATACATGTGCCACCATGCCCGGCTAATTTTGTATTTTTAGTAGAGATGCGGTTTCTCTACATTCGTTAGGCTGGTCTCAAACTCCCGACCTCAGGTGATCCGCCTGCATCAGCCTCCCAAAGTTCTGAGATTATAGGTGTGAGCCACCGTGCCTAGCCTTATTCCTTACATTTTAAGATTAAGCAAATGAGTAAATGTATTGATGATGTAAGCCAGATCTCTTAACTGAATTATTATATAGCAAAGGGGCATGATAGAAAACAGAGTTCCTCAGAATGGCATCTGTAAATCTAAATTATCTTTAGTGAAATGGTGACACGTTCCTAGTAAGGCATAGGGATTAGAATCATAATGAGTACACATGGGGCCCACTTAACAGGGTGTTAAGTGTAATGAGCTTCTGGTTCCTGTGTTTAACACAAAATAGACACAAATGAGATTTCTTCTTCTACTGAAATACTTCTCAGTAATGTAGGGTGTTACATCAGTGCTATATACCATCTATATATTCAGACTGTAGTCTGAATAACCTGGTATGCTTCTAGATAAGCCAAAAAGATGGCAGCAAGTCACGGTCAAAGTATCAAGACTAAAAGTTCATGTCACGAAATACTAGAATGACCACAAGTCTTATAAGAGGTGACTGGCCAGAAACAGAAACAAATAATGAGTTACTTTAAGAACCCAAGTAAACCAAATAAGCTCAGGGAGTGTTCAGTAACAGCAAGCAGAGTCTAACGGCTGCTGAGAGCCTCACCCATGGCAAGGCTGACAGACAAGCAGCTTTGAGCAGATACAGCTCAGCCTATGCACAGAAAGCAACCAAAGGGAAAACACATTGTCAGAAACTAAAACAAAGAACACAAAAGGTCAGAAAATCAAAAGGCACAAATCCTTCACATAAGAGACAAGGAGACACAGCAGTGAAGAAATTCACATATAGTTTGGTGAGGGGGAAAAAGTAAAATGTTTTACTGTTAGAGAGCAGTTTCATGATGGCTTTGCTAATAAAGGTTTGAAAACTAGCATTCTGGATAGGATAAAATGAGTTTGTAGGGACAGACAGAGTTGAGTATAAAGATTCCAGTGTTCATTAGTTAGGCAGAAGTCTTCAATCAAGCTCAGCAGGGTCTGGGGCCAAGGAAGTGGTTATTTCTCAGCATCAACTGGATAGATCTAGTTGTGATGAAATGCAACACCTAGTTTTGATATTTTGTAAGCAGGTGCTGCTGTAAATGAAAAATTTGTCTTTTTACTAATTGATGAAAAGTGGAAAGAAAGGCAGATTTTGTTGTTTTGGTTTGTTGTCACAGTCCTAAAATCATGGACCACGTCTTTCTTGTTCATTGCCGAATTCATAATACTTAGGAGAGAACCAAGTACTTTGACGTTTTCTAAGAAGTCTTTGTTTACAGATGGTCAGCCTGAAATTTATATTTGTTTTATATAGTATAATTTCTTTAATAACTATTCCATACACTTTCGCCTACATTTGAAACCCTCCAGACTGAGGGACTTTTTATGCCTATCAGACTCTTTTTTATATAATAAGAACAGTTATGAAGGAGATTTCTGCGTGTCATAGAGACCATTATCTCCAAGCAGAACAAAGAGTTGTGGACAGTATATACCAATGTGAATGTCTATGGCTTAGAAGATTTTAGAAGAAGGAGAAGGCTAAGTATAATTAAAGCTATTTACAGAACAGAATACTCACTTAAGAGGTTCCTGGTCTCAAGATGTTTTTGTTGTGGATTTTTTGGATTGCAATAGAAAATGTGATGGAATGTAAAGGAATCATTGTTCAGAAGCAAATTGTATTGTATTTATAATATCAATTACAGGCATGGCAGCAAAACATTCTCTGTCCTAAGACAAGGGAGAAGAGCCCAGCAGCCTTACTTATGTACTCTAACTGAAAACTTTATTTCTTTAGCAGATCCAAAGCCAGAAATCTACCCTTGTTCCTCCTGCCTTCTGGCCTTCTCTTGTCAGCAATTCCTCAGCCAACATGTGCTTCAGATCTTCCTGGGCTTATGTGCAGAAAATCACTTCCATTCAGGGAATTCTAGCCCAGGGCGTTGGAAACAGCAGGGGCAGCAGTATTCCCATCAAAGCTGCTGGTATGAAAACACAGAAGATCAGGAGAGAGGAGGTGGCTCCAAACCCTGGTCTGCAAGGACAGAGGAGAGAGAAACCTCAAGGGCATTCCCCAGCCTACTCCCAAGACAGTCAGCAAGTCCTAGAGAAGGCAACATGGTGGCAGAAACAGAGCCCAGTTCAGCCCAAAGAACAAACCATGCGCAGCCAAAGACTTGAAGGAATTGGAAACCTTGAGATTTGAAGCAATCAGCTGTAGAGAGTGTGAACCAGACCATAACCTGGAATCAAACTTTATTACAAATCCAAGAACGCTCTTAGGGGAGAAGCCCTACATTTGCAGTGATTATGGGCAAGGCTTTCAAGATAGATCAACCTTCATCAGACACCATCGGACACACTCGATGGAGAAGCCTTATGTGTGAAGTGAGTGTGGGCAAGGTTTTAGCCAGAATTATAACCTCAACGGACCCCAGATAACACATTCAGAAGAGAAGCCTTATTTGTGCACGGAGTGTGGGCAAAGCTTTAGAAATAAGTCCATCCTCAATAGACATCAGTGGACTCACTCAGAGGAGAAGCCCTATGTTTGCAGCGAGTATGGCCGAAGCTTTAGCGAGAAGTCATCCTTCATCAGACACCAGGGGACACACTCAGGTGAGAAACCCTATATGTGCCTAAAGTGTGGACGAGGTTTTTGTGATAAGTCAACCCTCAGAAAACACGAGAGGATTCACTCCGCGGAGAAGCCTTATTTGTGCAGGGAGTGTGGGCAAGGCTTTAGCCAGAACTCAGATCTCATCAAACACCAGAGGACACACTCAGATGAGAAGACTTATGTTTGCAGGGAGTGTGGGAGAGGCTTCTGCGACAAGTCAACCCTCATGATACATGAGCCAATGCACTCTGGAGAGAAGCCTTATGTGTGTGGTGAGTGTGGATGAGGCTTTAGTCGGAAATCATTCCTTGTTGTCCACCAGAGGACACACTTGGGGGAAAAGCATGATGTTTGCAGGGAGTGTGGGTGAGGTTTTAGCCAGAAGTCAAATCTTACCAGATACCAGAGGACACACACAAATGAGAAGCCTTATATTTGCAGGTAATGTGGGTGAAGCTTTTGTGACAAGTCAACCCTCATTTTACATGAGAGGACACACTCAGGAGAGAAGCCTTACTTTGCAGTGAGTGTTGCTGAGGCTTTAGCCAGAAATCACTCCTCCTTGTCCACCAGAGGACACACTCAGGAGAAGCATTATGTTTGTAGGGAGTGCGGGCGAGGCTTTAGTCGAAAGTCAAATTTCATCAGGCACCAGAGGACACACTGATGGGAGAAACCTGTGTATGCAGGGGTCATGGGCAAGACTTGAGTGATCAGTCAAGCCTCATGTTACCCCAGAGAGACACATGGGGAATAGATACACTCATATGTATGCAGAATGTGGGTGAAGTTCCAGAGATGTGTCGACCCTTATCTGGCATGGGAGGGACACGTTCAGGAGAGAAGCCTTATGAGTATAGAATGTGTACAGAGGATACACTGAAGAGAGAAATTTCATTTGTGTAGAGACCGTGGGTAAGGCTTTAGCAATAATCAACATTTACCAAACATCCAATGACAGCCTCAGGGGAAAGCACCATTGTCTGGGGAGTGTTGGTGAGCAAAAGAATGGACAGTCAAGGTGGCCCTCAGGAAGGAGGTCATTGTTGCAGGGTGTATGGGCAAAGCTTTTGTGATCACACACCACAGGCAGAATCGGCATGTGGGGACACTGTGGAGCTCTGCCCAGATGGCCTTTTCAGGGCTAACAGCTCAGCTGTCTGGGAGAACAGTGTTGCTGCTGGCAGAGATGCCCTCAACTCTGGAACTCGCTCTCAGCCACAGGGAGCTGCACACCCTGGGGGTATGCATCTTCGCAGGGGTAGCTCCCGGCCCCACCCCTTGACTCAACTGGGACAACTCCAGAAGGTCATTCCAGATCCAGAGGTCCCAGTTGAACTGAAGGATCACTGGGTTGCAGACACATTGCAGGTCAGCCTCTTCCTCTGCACAGTCCTGCCCTCACTCCCCAATGAATCCTCAATTTTCCATCTCATTGTCTCTCCAGAGAATTGATTCTAAGACATGTTAGGTATATAAGGAGTGTGGATAAGGCTTCAGCCATGAGTGACCCCTTATACAGAATAGAAATACTTCCGCACGTGTGGGGAGAATGGACAAGGACTTAGGAAAAAGGTGCACCTCATCAAAGAACAGCTTTTTTTTGGGACAAACTTTACATGGGTGAAGAGGGAAAATGTGAAACACACTAGTAGTAAGTTAAACCTCATCTTGTGCTAGAGGAGGACACGCTCAGGGAGAAGACCTGTGTGGGCAGGGCTTGTGGGCGGAGCTTCATCCGATGCCCCTCCTCAGCTGACTTAAGAGGACTGTCTTGCCACCCCAAGTCGCTACCTCACTCACCTCTGAGGGGTTTTCAGGAGAGGTCTTGACTCCACCATTTACTCTGTATGTGAGCGAAGATGGCAGTAACTGTTAAATAACCATTTTTTCTACTTCTTGGAATCAGATGCAATAAAAAAGACTTATTTGTGCCCCAAAGGGTTATTCCTGCTTGCCTGGTGACTGTGGACCAACTCTGGCCTGCACAACCTTCCCCCTCAAAACTTTTCTGCTGTCCAGTGGGCTGCAACCACATCTCCAGTAAGGACTGAACCCTAGGCTTGGGTAGGGAATCCTCCTTCCAAGTTTATCCTTGGGTAATCCCCCTCAGCTGTGGGATTTTTTTCCTTAGTATTTATATTTATCTTTGCAAAATAATTTTTTTTTCGAGGCAAAGTTTTGCTCTGTTGCCTAGGCTGGAGTTCAACATCTCGGCTCACTGCAATCTCTGCTTCTTGGGTTCAAGTGATTCTCCCTGCCTCAGCCTCCTGAGTAGCTGGAATTACAGGCGCCCGCCACCATGACCAGCAATTTTTGTAGTTTTAGTAGAGATGGGGTTTTACCATGTTGGCCAAGCTGGTCTGGAACTCCTGACCTCAGGTGGTGATCTGCCCACCTCAGTCTCCTAAGGTGCTGAGATTACAGGTGTGAGCCACCATGCCTGGCAAAATAATTCTTTAAATTACTGTATGGTTTCTGTCTCCTCATCAAACCCAGACTGATACAAGTGTAAACGTGTATGTGTGTACTTTTTAAAATGAGGGCAAAGACATGAATTTTGACTGCATTTATTTAGTGAGCCTAGAGATAAGCCAAAGAAGTAATGCAGGTCAAAACTATTAATTATGAATACTCAACTGGGGCTGTGACCTTGAATCTAGACACAGAAATCTAATGGTCTATATCAGAAGTTGGCAAACTACAGCCTAAATGCCAACCCTTGCTGATCACATGTTTTTGTGTGGCCTTGAGCTAAGAATGGTCTTTACATTTTAAATGGTTGCAAAGAATTTAAAGAAGAATATTTTGTGACATATATTTGTATACATAAATAAAATTTTATTGGAACCCAACCACACTCATTTGCTAGGTATTGTCTGTAGCTGCTTCCATGCTACGTGGTAACGCTGAGTAACTGCAGCAGAGACCAAATGGCTCACCAACTCTAAAACGCTCTCTGGCCCTTAAAAAATTTATTGGAAACTAACCAGTCTTAAACACATTTAAAAAACTTTGCCCACTTTTGATCTAGACTGAAACCTGGGACCATTTTATCAAGTAAAGACCAAATGAATTCCCTGTTTAGTCCCCTGCTCCGAATTCATGACCCCTTTTTCCTTATTTGTAGAAATTGGCAAACTAATTGAGTTGCAAGAGATTGAGAATAGCCAAAACAATCTTGAAAAAGAAAAAGGAGGAGGATTCATACTTTCTGACTTCAAAATTTAATATAAAGCAAATGGTAATCAGGATAGTATAGTACTGGCATAAGGATGGAATAGAATTGGAAGTCCAGAAATAAAACCATGTGTCAGTGGTCAACTGATTTTCCACCAGGGTGCCAAGATTATTCAGTGGGGGAAAGAAGAGTCTTTTTAACAAATGATGCTGAAACAACTGTATATCTACTTACAAAAGAATGAAGTTTGACTCTACCTTATACATATATAAAATATTAACTAAAAATATACAAAAAATCTAAATGTAAGAGCTAAACCTCTGAAACTATCAGAAGAAAACAAACGGGTAAATCTTCATGATCATAGATTTGGCAAAAAAGATTTTTCTTTTTCTTTTTCTTTTTTTTTTTTTTTTTTGAGATGGAGTTTCGCTCTTGTTACCCAGGCTGGAGTGCAATGGCGCGATCCTCACCGCAACCTCCACCTCCTGGGTTCAAGCAATTCTCCTGCCTCAGCCTCCCAAGTAGCTGGGACTACAGGCGTACGCCACCATGCCCAGCTAATTTTTTGTATTTTTAGTAGAGACGGGGTTTCACCATGTTGACCAGAATGCTCTCGATCTCTTGACCTCGTGATCCACCTGCCTCGGCCTCCCAAAGTGCTGGGATTACAGGTGTGAGCCACCGCGCCTGGCCAAAAAAGATTTTTCTTACTGCACCAAAAACATGAGCAGCAACGACAACAAAAAGATAAATTAGCCTTCATCCAAATTAAAAACTTTTGTACAGGATATTATCAAGAAAGTGAAAAGACCAGGCATGGTGGCTCATGCCTGTAATCCCAGCAGTTTGGGAGGCTAAGGAGGATGGAATGCTTGAACCCAGGAGTTCAAGATTAGCCTGGGCAACATGGCAAAACCCCGTCCCTACAAAAAAAAAAAAAAATACAAAAATTAGCCAGTGTGGTGGCATGCAACTGTAGTCCTAGCTACTCAAAAGGCTGAGGTGGGAGAATTGCTTAAGCACAGGAGGTCAAGGCTGCAGTGAGCTGTGATTGCATTATGGCACTCCGGCCTGGGTGATGGGGCGAGACTCTGTCTAAAAAAAAAACCCAGAATGGGAGAAAATCTGTATAAATAACATATCTGACAAAGACCTTATATCTGTAATATAGAAAGAATTCTTACAACTCAATAATAAAAAGCAAATGGTCCAATTAAAAAATGAGCAAAGGATCTGAATGGACATTTCTCCAAGGATAATATATAAATGCCCCAAAAGCACATGAAAAGATGTTCAACATCGTTAGTCATGAGAGAAATGCAAATCAAAACCATGGTGAAATTGATAGCACTTCACATTCATTAAGATGGCTTAAATCAAAAAGTCAGATAATAACAAATATGGGTGAAGATTTGGAGAAATCAGAACCCTCATACCCACTTGTGGGAATGTATAATGGTGAAGCCACTTTTGAAAATAGTCTGGCAGTTCCTCAAATGATTAATCAGAATTATCATATGACTCAGAAATGCCACTCCTAGCTAGATACCCAAGAAAAATAAAAACACGTCCACATGAAAACTTGTATACGAATGTTTACAGCAGCATTATTTATAATAGCCAAAAGGTGGAAACAATCCAAACATTCATCATTTGATGAACTGATAAACAAAATGTGGTAGTCTCCTCCTTATCTGAGGAGGTTATATTCCAAGATCCCCAGTGGATTCATGTAACTACAGATACTACCAAACCCTATATATACTGTTTTCTCCTATACATACATAGCTATGATAAAGTTTAGTTTATAAATTAGGTACAGTAAGAGATTAACAATAATATTAATAGAACAGTTATAAAATACACTAATAAAAGTAATGAATGTGGTCTCTCAAAGTGTCTTGTGCTGTACTCACCTATTTTTGTACTGCAGTTGACTACAGGTAACTGAAATTACAGAAAGTGAAACAAGGATATGGGGGGACTACTGTACATCTATACAGTGGAATATTATTTGGCCCTAAAAAGGAATGAAGTACTGATACATGTCATGACATGGATGAGCCTTAAAAATATTGTGCTAAGTGAAAGAAAGTAGTCACAAAAGACCACATATTATTATATTATTCCCTTTATATAAATTTTCTTTTTCTTTTTCTTTTGTTTTTTTGAGACAGAGTCTCACTCTGTCACCCAGGCTGGAGTGCAGTGGCGTGATCTTGGCTCACTGCAACCTCTGCCTCACAGGTTCAAGCGATTCTCCTGCCTCAGCCTCCTGAGTACCTGGGACTATACCATGCCCGGCTAATTTTTTGTTTTTTTTTTTTAGTAGAGATGGGATTTCACCTTGTTAGCCAGGATGGTCTCGATCTCCTGACCTCATGATCCGCCCCCCTCGGCCTCCCAAAGTGCTGGGATTGCAGGTGTGAGCCTATTCCCTTTATATAAATATAAAGCGCCCAGCCTATTCCCTTTATATGAATTTTCTAGAATGTCCTTCAGATAGACCTGAGTGTAAGTTCAGGTCTCTGCTCACATACCACTCCTCAGAGAAGTTTCCCTTGACCACCTAGCCAAAATTGTACCCCACTCTCTCAGTCCTCTGCCTTTATTTTTTTCATATCACTCTAATGTTACATTGCATACTTATTTACTTGGTTTACTATCTGTGTTTCTCACTAGAATGTACAGCTCAGTGAGGGAAAGGACTCTATCCCAATAAGCAGTGCTTGGCCTTAGCAGGTGCTAAATAAAAATTATTTTTAATGCCTGCATGAATGTTATGTTAGGCATCTGGGTAAGGTGGGGGCAGATGAACAGCTGAGGAGCCAGATGAACGTATATTCCCACTCTGACTCTGCTACCTTGGGCAACATAATTCATTTCTATGAGGCTTCACCTCTTCATCTACAGGTGACAGAAACAGGACAACAGAACATACCTCTTAGATGGTGTGAAGGTGACAAAGCCCTAAGGTGGAAGCTTTCCTTGCTGGGTTTGAGGAATAGGAGATTAGTGTGATTGGAGAATGATGAATGAGGGGAATGTTGAAGGACCTGAGTGAGGTTGGAGAGGAATGAAGAGCTGGATTTTATTCCACGTGTGCTGGGAAGTTTTTGTGAAGTAGAGACCAGGGCATGACATTATCTGATATACCAGTACATTTAAAAGGATCCCTCTGGCTGCTTTGAGAACAAGAAAGGAAGTGAAGAGACAAGTTAAGAGTTGTTCAATGATCCAAGACAGAGATGATGGTGGCTATGACTAGGATGGAAGCAGTGGAGTGGGTGACAACAGTCATATTCAAGATAATTTGAAGGTAGGGGCCACAGGATTTGCTGATTAATTTGATTATTTGATGGCAGAGAAAGAGAAGAATGCTTCAAGTTTATAATTTTCTTTTCTTTTTTAATCCAAGAAACGTCAGGGATGGGGAACACTGGTGAAGTGGCTTTGGAAAGAGTGAATAGAATCAAGAATTCAGTTTTCAACATATTGAATTTGGTATACCCATTAGACATTCACATCATGCTGGCAGCTGGATATAAAAGGCCAGGGTCAACAAACTTGAAAGCCCTGGGTGTATACATTGTATTTAAGTCATAGGAAAGGCCCGTGTGGTGGCTCATACTTGTAATCCCAACACTGTGGGGGGCTGAGACAGGCGGATCACTTAAGGGCAGGAGTTCGAGACCAGCCTGGTCAACATGGTGAAACTCCGCCTCTACTAAAAATACAAAAATTAGCTGAGTGTGGTGGTACAGGCCTGTATTCACAGCTGCTCAGGAGACTGAGGTATGAGAGTCGCTTGAACTGGGGAGTCAGAGGTTGCAATGAGTCGAGATTGCAGCACTGCACTCCAGCTTGGGTGACAGAGTGAGACTCTCAAAAAAAAAAAAAAAAAAAAAAAAAAGCCATA